GGAAAGAGTTGAAATAAAATAAAAGAACATAATCATAGATTTCCAGTGTATGAGAGTGGCTTGAATGAAGGGACTGTTTTTCTGAAGTATTTAATATAAAAATATTTATTAAAATGCAGGCTATAGGAATGCAATGCTGTTAACTAAGTGGCAGTTAATACAGATAAAATTGCAGGTTGCTGGCATCAGAGTTGAAGGCAGGCCTTCCCTGCCTCGAGACAGGCAGGGTGACATTTTCAAAAGTGAAAACTGTTCTCAAGTGTCTTTCCCCTTTTGAAGTCTGCCCTCTTAAGGTACCTCTGTTTAGGCATCCTAGTGGTTGTGTAATCTAAGTCATTACTTACTGCTGAAAGCAAAAACCAGAGCATTGAAGTTTCGGGTCCATTTCTGGTCATTGTAAGCAGATCAGCGAGTCCCAGTTCATATATACCCCTTCTCATTATGCATCCTGTTCCAATTTATCACTAAGTTCAGGAAATATATATATTACAAAATATACTACTTCTCACTTAATCTACCCAAATGTTCCTGTCATCAGTTAATTAAAATAATGAGCACTTTGTGAAACAACAGGTAAGCAGACTGGAGAAAGATAGTATTATCTTACTTGTACCTACTGAGTCTGTAAATAATTAAACAATTACCATCGCTGTCAGATTCTTTTCTTAAGCACCTTTTTCAGGTTGTGATGTTGGTTAGTTAATGGTTTGAGGTGAAGAAATAATAATGAACATAACTATACAGTTAGTAATAGGACTGATTTGTTTACAGTATAAATGAAAGCAGTATCAAAATCTCCATTGGTGATCTCTGCACAGCTGTACAAATGACTAAGATTTTTTTTAAATATTTAACTCCCAATTAAGTGTGTGAAGAGCCTAGCCACGTAAATGAAAAACAGAAATAGCTCAGCTAAACAGGAATATTATATAACAGTAACTTGTCTGCATATTAGTTATAGCTACAATGTTAGCAGGAGTTAAGCTTGGTATGTAGTTGATCATGAGACTCTGCTCCAAAGGATGCTTGGCAGAGGATTATATTTTTACTTATCTCCCATCCATATTATTTCTTAATTAAAATATGTTCATAGCTGTGAAGCAAGAAGTGGTATAAATGCATAGATACAGTCCCCCAAAGATATAAAAGACTTTAATACCTTCAGAGAATCAAAAACTGAACAGGTCTTACTATTGCATGCCGTTGGCAACCAAAAGTCAATACAACATCAAAAAGAACAACTCTAGAGTATTAGAACTTGCTGAAAATATGAAACGGATGCTTTTCTCCTTAAATACAATAACATATTTACCATTTTATTGGGTGTTAGGGAATTTTATTTTTATGTTCTTATCAATAGTAGTGCTGAAAATTCAGTTTACTATATTGATAAAAGGGTATGGGGTAAGGAAGAAATACGGAAGCAATAATTGAATTTTCTAATGACTTTTCCATTCAGCTCTTAGTTTAGTTATCTGTAGATCTGTAACTTTTTTATAACAAAATCTGTATTTGTGAATGTTTCTCAGCAGGATGTGCATCCCTGTGATTTTAAATAGGGTTGATGGATTAAAAAAACAAGAAACCTGCCATTCCATCCATGCTCTGCCAGTGACTTCTCTGGTGCCTGGGTTAGGCACTTAATCATCCTCCCTTTCTTATCTGAGAGGAAGAGATAATTGCACTTCCCTTACTGGGAAAGCCGCATTAATACTGTTATTGAGCATAAACTTGTACAGAGTAGAAAACTGTGCAACGCACTTTGGCCCACTGTGCTGCGCAGAGCAGGATCGTCTAGCAAAACCTGCCGTGAAAAGTTTACGGTCTGAAAGACGAGCTGTAACTGCTACAGAAGGCAGACAAACTGGAAAGAAAAGAGAGAGCAGTAAATGGCACAGGATGCGTGTAGCTCTTTACAAGTCAGCGGTGCCTGGCAGCAGCGGGGGCTCCCGACGGGGCAGGGCCAGGCCCCTGCCCGCCGAGGAGTGGGTCGGCCCCAGCCCCGGCTTCGGGCACAGCTGTGGGGAGGGGATGGGGAGGGGAGCCGGTAGTCAGGGGTTGGATCAGGCCCCGGGGAGGA